CGTTGCTTTCAGCGGGTCAGCTCCGCGGTCGTGGGGGGATCGTGGGGCGCTGGGGACTGCCAGGAAAGCCCTGGAGCGGCACGGAGTGCGTCTGGCCCAACAGGTCGCCCGGCTGAGTGTAGCAGTAGGTCTGAGCCATCCTCTGGCTTTTTGCTTCTTGGCTCTTCTGTTTTATGCTCACTGCAGCTGAAGTCCTTAGAGCAGCTCGGGGGCAGTTGCTTGAGATGTTGAGAGCGGTTATCCCTGCGGGCTCAGCGTGGCACAGTGCCGTGTCTGCGAGCTAATGCAGTGGTGGTTTTGTCATGGACACAACGTGCTTTTGCCAACAGATAAACTTCTAAGTTAAGTAACAGCATTATTAATGGGCCTCTAAGCATAACTAAAAGTAGGCATAGTCGCAGAGAAACTTAGGCTTTTGCAGTTTAGGATAACCTAGAAGTACTTGTCGTAGCATTATGGCAATACTCTTTCTTGAAGCCTGCCTTCCAAGCAGCTATCAAGCAGATGTTCCTAATGTAAGTTTATGTGAGCAGAGCAGGAAATTTTAGTAAGAGAAACCTGACAGCTGCTCTTAAATATGCTAGATGTGCCTCCTGAGGATAAACTGAACAGAAAGTAATAGCCCTGATGTCACTGTATAGCCTTATTTATTCTTGGAAAAGCTCTTCATTCGCTCGTCAGCCAAAACATGTGTGCTGTTCCAGCGCTGTCCTTTACTTTGACAGATAAGCATTTAAAATAAAACTTTGCTAGGTACTGTTGAATACTGGTAATCTGTTATTTTTGTTTTACCCAGGGGAGACTATCTGCGATGCTGCAAATTCTGTTACCCATTATGTGCGTTTGTCATTCTTGCCGCTTGTGTGGTAGCGTGCGTTGGCTTAGTCTGGATGCAGGTGGCTCTCAAGGAGGATCTGGATGCAATAAAGGAGAAGTTTCGAACTAGTAAGTATAAATGTAACTACACTATTTGACATTTGCATTGGGTAGTATGAAGAGCTGTAGTTGCCTACCTGTTTATTCAAAGTCTGAAAGTACTGAGCAGACTGCCCCTGAATTGAGGAGTCTTCTGAGCTAGAAACACTTGGAGGCTGAGCAAACCTAAGGCAAATGTTATATATTCTTGCCTGCTCTATATATTCTGAGGAGCAGGGACACTGGGCTAGGTGGGCCTGTAGTTGCTTGTACGTACATTTCTAAAATTCCTGACTTTGGTCTTGGGAGTGCTTTCTTCCAAAGGAAGCCCCTATTTAAAAAGGAAAAGTTCTGATCAGCCTCATAAAAACAGTCAAGGGAATTTTGATGTGTCCCTTAATTTTTTTTTTTTTAAATGGAAAACAATGTTCTTGTCTTGAGCTCTTTTAAAAAAACTCTAATACTTGTTATGACTTTACTGCAGTTTGAATGTTGCTTTGGTATTATGTTTTTTCTTCATATCCTCTGAACGTTTATCTTGCTTGCATTGACCTGTTCTTGTTCAACTTTTATGTCTTGTTGCATATGGTGTGGAGTTACATCATGTTTAATACTTTGAAGTATGGAGTTAAGGTGAAGCATTTTGCTTGTAGGTCTCAGGTTTTCCCTGTCCATTTAAGATTTAAATATTATAACTTCTGTAGTGCTGAGGTATAACAAATGGTGAGATTTGCATGTAACATACGCTCTTGGTTCTCTGTACCTCACCTCTGCACACAAGATAGGTTTTGGTGCCTTATTTTAGTACTGTTTAAAATCCCATATATTGAAAACAAGGATAAGCTGAGGAGCTGTGTGAATGGAGCAGAAGAGAGCAAAGCTTAAGCATTCACGTAGTCTCTAGCTGCTTCAGGAAAGCTAGGTAGTTACTTTTTCCCTGAGGAGCACTGCTGTTGACTGCGGGTTTTGTCCCATAGCTTTGGTCTTCATCTTAGAATTTTTGTGCCTAGGACATGAAGGTGACCTTAAAAATAAGGTTGGTGAAATCAGTTAAAAAATTAGGAGGCTGCTAGGGCTGGAGGTAAGCAGAGGACTTGATTTGGTTGTGGTGAAAGAGGTATTGAGGAAACGTGTAGAAATTCTTTGCTGTTGGTGTATAGGGCTTTCTGTTCGGGTGTGTAACTCTGCTGTGAGGTGAGGAGTTGTCTGCCAAGGTGGAACCTGCTGGCTGGCTGGCTGGGAGTGGGAGAAAGCATCACTGATGGATGTGTTTTTATATTAACTGCTACTGAACTCTGAAAGTTAGCCATAACTGGTGCCCACCAGTTATGGAGGATACCTTCAGTTACATGTGCTGTGAGCGTACTGAACAGCTCTGCAGTAGCTGTTTCTGTGTTCCGGGTAAGCTGGCTGCCTCTGTTCATGGACTGGTCTGCTTTAAGTAATGACTGGCAGTAAAAGTTTTGCACAATGACAGCATTTGTTGGCTTTGGTGTACTTAAGTTTCTTCATTCCCGCTCTACATAGTCCTCTTTGTTAAAGCAGTTGTTCTCTCTGAGCTTACTGTCTGGCAATTACAGATATGCTTGTTTTTTCCTTAATAGCTGTGATAGAGAAGCTGTGCATTTAATAGTTGGTCTAGTGATAAAATAGTCTTGGATTTCCTTGCCACTGTAATAGCAGGCCTAGAAGCTGGACAGGAGTCTCATAGTGAGGCACAGCGTTAAAAACAACAACAACAAAAACAGACAGCAAGACCAACCTGGCTCCAAAAAGTAACATTGCGCTCTGGTGAGATGGGTAGGTGGATGGAGAAACAAAGGCATGGGATCAGTCTGTCCTACAGCAGGTTTGGAAAAAGAATCTTCCTCCTCTGAATATTCATCCAGATTTTTATCTCGTAAGAGCAGATTCCCGTGGCAGTATTTGCTAATGTTCTTCCATATTTTGAACAAAGTGAGTATGGTATGAGTGCTTTTTAAAAATAAGACATCTCTGCATCTAGTATGTTTGGGGTGGGGGAAAGTTATTGTAGCATTTCCCTTTGGTTGTTAGTAATGATGCTAAGAACGTATATAGCGCTTAAGAGTTTTTTGCAGTGCTAGGAAAGCTAAGTGGAGTCTTATTGTACATAGTAAGAGTGGCAAAACAGAAAATAATTTGTTTACAAGAGCCTCTGAAACATCAGATTCAGTGTGAACTGCTTGTGTCAAATGCACAATTAGCACTCAGTCTGTTTTGGCTAAAATAGATCTTTCAAGGTCTTACTTAACCCGAAGTGTTATTTGGGTCTTGAGTGATCAATGCAGATTACTCTGTACCTAGCAATGACTTTAGGACTTGCTTCAAGAAAAGTGAAGTGGGTTTTTGAAGATGCTGAGGTTTCCAGTTGTGTGTATTTGGGTATCCACTCCACAGGCATGAAGCACTGCTGAAGGCTTCCCCTTTTGACTGGATGGGTGACACAAGGCAATTTGTTCTGGGAGCTACCAGCTATGTACCATGTAGGTCTTGCTGATCTTGGCGGTCTGTGGTCTGAATGATGGCATTTGTTGTGGAGCGTTTCAGTGCCGTATTACAGGGTGGAGGTGCAGGTTTTGGAGAACTCCCTCATGTCCATCTCAAAACCTTTGCTTATTTGTTTCCCCAACCTAGGGATTTAGGATTGCCTAACAGCGCTTGCAGCTAAACAGCTTAGTCACTGCATACCTGGAAGAGCTCCATTTCTGAGGCTGACTTGAATTGGTTTGAGCTGCATGTTTCCCTCTTTCTGTAGTATTAATTGCAGTAATAACTGACTTTATTTCCACAGACCTTGTTTACTGATTTGTTTACCAACAGATGCTAGTGTATAAGCTTATATGTTTTTTTTTCAGTTGTCTTTCTGTCACATGGAACAACTGTAATCATGTTAATCTCTCTGGAATTCACTTCATCATCAGCAGCCCCTTTGCAGGCTTGAAAAGGGCACCGAGGTTCATTTCATGTACTTCCTTTGCCCTGGTACTGTTGGCAGTTCTTATTCATAGTCCCATTACTATTTCATGTTCCTCTGTGAAAGTAATGCGAAATAACTGCACTAAATAAAGACCTGCTGAGGCTTGCCAGAATGACAGTACTATTTGCAAAGTGTTAAATTTAGTACAGTCTCTCTGAGTTCTCTCTGCGGACGTTAGTACTCTTAAAACAAAAAAGAGCTGCCATTCTGAACAAACACTTAATTCTGAATTGGCAGTAAACCCATATGTAGAAACTATTATTGCCGCTTTTCACTGCTGTAGATGTTGCTGCTTGTAATTGTCTTTTGCCTTACGTTTACCTGCACTTTGGGGATTTTTTTAAACAAAATTTAATTATCTTTTTCATTTTTTTTAGTGGAATCTAATCAAAAGACATCATTCCAAGAAATTCCTAAACTGAGTGAAGATTTGGTGCAGAACCAAAAGCAACTAGAACAAATTGAGACTGGAGAACTGGGGCTAAATAAAATTTGGATAAATATCACAGAGATCAATAAACAGGTGAGAGAGATCAGTGGTTGGTTTTGAAAAATAATAAAATATTCCATTCAAATTTATTTTTACAGAAATTAATTTCAAGTGCGGTGCTGAGCTTTTCTCTAAGGACTTCCATAACCATATGCTTAAAGTTAAAATGGAGTGTAAGCTTCATTATTAAACAAGAAAAAAAAGGGTGAGCATCCAGTTGGACTGGAGGCTGGTCACAAAGAGGAGAAATTACACAACTGGTGGAAAGACTTCAGGCAGAATTTAAAAGAACCTGAGAACTGTTCAGTTCTTAATTTTCCTGCCAAATAATTGTGATGTTTGTGAGAGGTTTGATATTTCAAATTTCTGAGAGTGTCTGCAAACACATCATGAGCATGGAAAGAAGTTACCTGAATCAGTACAAGTTCATGTTGCTACAAATGAAATACCGGTGTCTTGTGAATATAAAATCTGCTAATACACACTCGGAATCCGAGCTGGTGTAAATTCTATCTCTGTTTATGCGGCTTGAACTAAGCCACTTATCAGCTGAGGAAACAGCTTTCTGTTGTGTTAGCTCATGCTTCAAACAAAGCATCCAGCAAGGCTCTTACTGAAATTCTTGCCTTGGAGGGTAGAAGTTCAGAGCTGCTCACAGTTAGTGGTATCCACAGGTGTGCGTGGTACACTCCCTGACACTGGTGCTTTTGGGTTTAATTTTTAAGAGTATTGAGGTGCCTGCTCAGATTAGTTTTTCTTCAGTCTAGTGCAATGGTTAAGTATTTAATGGGGCACGTAAATATATTTGAAAAATTGACTTGCTTTCTTTGGCATCTGACAGTATGCATTATCCACAGATATTTAGGTGCTTCGTTGGACTTTTAAAATGCTATCATCTGCACCTGGATGTTAAAGATACTTGCACATGGTTCTTGCAGGCCCCCAAGTTACTTCAGGATCTGGTTATAGTCTGAGCCAGCTCTTCTGGGTATTAAAATTTAGTTACTGGGTAACTCCCCCTGCCCTCTCCACCCCCCAATAAATTGTTAGGATGCACTGCTGGGAATTATTTCAGCCAATATTTGCAGCTGTGGAAAGAGAAAATCTGCACACCAGCTGATCAGTGTTGGCCTAATATAAAACTCAGATCTTGTCCATTTCCTCAGCTTGCAAAACAACTTTTTTGAACCAGAAGAAAGTGGGTTTTATCCGCTCTACTTCTGTGTTGTCAAATGTGAGAAGAAATTATTTTTCTTCATTATGGCTCCCAATCGCTCTTAAAGTGATAATGTTAGAAATTAATGACCAGCATGTGGCTGTTCTTAATTTATTTGACAGCCTCTCATTTGGAATGAATAAATAATCCTGAAGACACATTGAATAACGTGCCTCCTGGGTCAAATGGTTGACAGGAATTGAGCTGGCCCACTGTACCTAGATTGTCACTGTAGCAGAAGGTTTGGGTGATACGTGCAACTTCTTTGCTTGTCACTCAGCTAGAGAAGTTGCATGGCTTCGCTGGGTTTTGCCAGGCAGGTTTGATTGCTAAATACAGAAGTAGATGACTTGGTTCTTTCACGTAAAGGCTTCTTGCACAACGTTTAAAATAGTTCTTGGGCAACAGCCTGTCTCTAAGGGGATTAATGTAAAATGGGCAGAGGGTACATCATTCAAAAGAAGGGGCTTCTGTGGCTTTCATTCAGTTTAAAAAAAATTTTTGCCTCTGTTGCAAGAGGCAGAATATTTTTAATGTAGCCTGGGCAGGACTTACAACCTAGAGCCAGGGGTGAGGGGGGTGTGTGTGTGTGTATTTGTCTTGTGTTTTAATGTTACAGATTAAGTCATTGGTATTGGGGAAGGACAGAATCAGGATTATGTTGACTAATTCTACACGTTCCTCTCCGTTTTTAGATATCACTATTGACCTCAACAGTAAATCATCTCAAAAACAACATAAAGTCTGCTTCTGATCTGATTTATCTTCCTCTCACAGTAGAGAAGCTTCAGAAGGCAAGTACTGTAAATTTGGCTATTGCTAAACGTGTTCTGTGTTGCGAAGCTGCGGCTGGGCTCTTGGGGACAGCAGTGACAACAGGAGTTACCTGAATTGCATGTGAGGAATACTTGCTTCTCCATCTCGTTTTTAAATTTGACTTCATATCGTGGGACCATACAATATCAAGTATAACGTAGGGCAGATAAAAAATTTGAAGGCCTTGGCTGTCCCTTTCTGGAGATGCACTTGTTTCTGGTTGTATTATGTTATCACTTCTTTATCTTGGAGCTGATCTTTCTGGTTGCTTTCCTTCAAGTTACTAATCTTAATATAATTTAAGGCACTTGCAAAAAGTCTGTCTGCAGTTTTACAACTCTTCTTGCAGATAGGTGGTTTGTTTAGCTTTTTTAATTGGAAAAGAAAATGCATTGCTTTCTGGAACACTTCCTCATCTTGAGCAGTATATAGTTCTACATCTGGCTCTGCATTTACAGTCTTGAGGCGGGCAGGGGTCTAACTTGGGAGCAGTGGGCATGGAACACAAGTGTGGGAGCTTTCTTGGTGTTCAGTACATGCACAGCAAAACATGAATTATACTGGCATGGTTTTGTGACGGTCCCTTGAAAGATGGGCCCTAGTGGGTGACACAGGCTGACTTCTGTTAATACAGTGTCTTACCGTGTGCCTTAGCTGAGCATTCTTTACCAAAGAACTGTCCTGTTTATGTTGGTAAAAAGAAGGGCTTGTTGAAAGTTCCTTGGCTCTTCCATGGCAGTTCTGTTTGTTTATCAATAAACATTTATATTGGGCTAACACCTAATGTCAGTCCAGTTGTCTTTGTGGCTTTTATGGGTTTCTGCTTCTCATTTCCTATCCCTACAAAATTAATGTATAATCAACAAGGTAGTCATATGGAAAGCAATTAATGTGGTTTGGCTGATCAGGCTGCTAGGATTTCTTTTTCTGGGAGGAGCACAAAGCTATTTCCTAAGCTTCTAATTTGCTGTTATGAGCATGCTGGATTTTCACTGTGTCATATCAGAAGTAAGTCTTAAGGCAGTACCTAGAGTCTAGAAATGGCACCTACTTTATATAATATAGAAAAAGCTTGTTGTCATCTTGCTGCCTTCAGTGCTGTCAGGATGACGTGTTAGGGCCAGCAGGTTTCAGCTTGCAGCGATCTGCTGAACAGCAGGGCTTTTTTTATGTTGAAATAAGACCATCCTTTGTCGTACTTTGTGAAAATCAAGTATCTTGGGAACTTCTGAATTCTTTTCAGTCTCTGCTGTTGAGTCTGAGGTGTTTCTGTTTTACTGCTCTCTTAATGCCATCTTGCTTGCATTTATGTTTTGGAAAGTTGATGTAATAAAAACAGAGCTGGAATCCTTCTAGGAGGTATATTGTGAGGTGTTGTGTGTAGAAAAACTATTCAGAGGTTTAAATACAATAGTTTTAATGGTTTGTAAGTGTCATGTTAATGAAAAGTGATAGGTTTCGAGACCTGGACTTCTTTTTGACTCCTGTGTGTGTGCTGCACTGCCTCCTGTCACACAGAACTTCAGTGGGTGTAGGTTGGTAGCCTGGCTTTTGATAGCCCTGGTGAAAAATCTCCTGCTCAACTGTCCATTGGGTCCAGCTGTCTTTGGAATTGCCTGCCTTTCTTGGAAGAAAAGGCTGCTATTCTTATAATAGGATTTTGGTTTTCTTGAGCCTTTCCCCCCTCTAGGTACTGTTCCTGAAAATGGAGAGCTGCCTGCTGGTGGTAGTGTCCTGAAGGATTACTGAGGGAGTTCCTCTTTTGTTCAGACTGATGAAAGGTGCTAAAAGTGTCCTGAGGTCCTCCAGGGCAGAGAGATTGCTTATGAACCTGTCTTCAGACTTGCAAAATGAAGAGTTAGAGGAAGATTTGTGTGGATATTGTTTGAATATGGTCTGGGTAGCTAGAGGGCTACTTCAGTGCCTTTAGAGCTTATGATCATAACAGGGTCATAGGAAAAGGGGATTTTTAAATGGGTTCTGTTTGTTTTAACGACCAAAGAAAGTATTAAAAATGGAAGGAGAAGCGTAGGGGCGTGCTCTGTCCCATTACTGTAACTTCCACTAGTGTCTGTGGATGTCCGAGCTGACAGTCTGACTCTAATAGGTGCTATGCTGTCAGCTGCTAAAACACCAGTGCAGCTTTACAGAATAGTTACTTTCTGAGTTAGAGCTGGGGGTCGGGGGAGTTCGCGTTCGCATAGGTGAAGGCAAGGGAAGGATGGGACGGGAGTAGTCAGAAGCTAAGGTAGCTGTCACAGCACGCTGACTGTACCTGCAGAATTCATGGGGGCTTTCCTGATGCTTCAGAGCTATTCATTCATTTTAAAAAAGGTAATACTTGCTTGAAACTCTAATTGGTGACCTTTGGCAGACTGGTTTTGCAGTGTATGATGTGTCTGATGAGTAGCCCTGAAAGACAATTAAGGCAGGGTAAATGGGTGATGTCAGCATTCTTGTATTCAATACAAGAGAGGAGGTAAGATGTCTTCATCTCGGGATTATTTTTTTGTAAAGTAGTGCCAGAACAGTTGTATTGTTTTGGGAGTGAGAGTAGCAAACCCATAATTTTGGTTATCTAGCTTAAGCTCTCATGGTGTAGAGTGTGTGTTCATTTATTGGCCCGGAGATGCAATGGGTATAATCTGCAGCTTTGTCTGCAAAGGAAGTTCCAAATACTCCAAACTCACATGCATATTTTTGTGGCGGTCTGCCTGCAGTTTCCCTAGCACAATATCATGTTTAGCAGATTGAAACTTTGGAACAGTACAGTTGAGGAAGGCTGAGATTTTTGTCTACTTCTTTCTTCCAGACTGTAGCGAACATAGGGAGCACTCTTACCAGTGTTTCTCATGATGTTGAAAATATACAGACAGCTATTGAAGAATACAAGAAATCCATAGAAATACTCCAGAATGGTGTGGTAAGAAAATGTACTGATTTAACACTGTGTTTCAACAGTTACCTGCCTAATACGAAGCAAGTTTAAGAACTGTGTGGAGTTTTGCCTTATGCCTTCAAAACACTTTTGGAGTTTTAGTAGGTGCTGGTTGGTACATTAGTACACTGCTAATCTCATAATCCTTGTGTGTCATCTTCTATATGGTATCAAGTATGTATTTTTCTGTAGCCAGAATTGTTGAGTGCTTCTATACTTCCTATCCTGCATTTTTGCTTCCTACTACACAGATGCGGAGCCTTGGGAATCTCTGCTTTTGTGTGATGCAGGGTACTGCTTATGGTAACTGTCTGCACTGTCTTAGGAACTGGAGATGGTGGAAGTGTTGAGATAGTTTGTTGGTTGAATTAAGGATGCGTGTAAGGATGAAATTACTGACCATCTTTACCAGAAACTACTCACTGTATTTACACTGACCTCTTGCTTGGGGTTAACAAACTGAGCCAATAATTAAAGTTTTTCAGCTAAACTGCTATACACCATTACTTTAATAAGAATACTTGCAGATAAAATCTAAATTAGACACATTATAAAACTTGATTCAGTCAGTGAGTGCTACGAAAACTTTGCAGATACGGCAGTGTGTATAGTAGCAGTGAAATGTGTATCATAATACTTCATTAAAGGGAGAAGAGCTAATTAGTAGGGTTTAATTAAAATAAATTTGGACCTTATGTGTCTGAAAGAGGAACTCTGTATTAGCCTAGGTAAAATACTGCATGCACAACAGACATGAGTGACTATAATTTTAGAAGAACATCGTTAGCTACAGCCTGCCAGTTATTAAAAGCTTAGTATTTTTTACAGGCATTTGGTGACACAATTTTCTGTTTCTTTCCTTAGAAGGAATTAAAACAGATATCTTCACTTCCCTCCACTGTTGCGCCAAGGACTGAGAGAAATCAGACAGAAAATTGTAAACAGGTATTTTTCTCTCTTGCATAAGGAATACTGGTACAAATATCACTGACACTTAACTTTTTGTGTGTGTTTTGTGGTACTGTGGTGTATAAAAGAGTATGTTTTTTATCAAGACACTACAGACAGCATCCTTCAAAATGAAATGTAAGATAATTTTGCTGTAGTTTGTTCCTGTGTATGTGCAAACAGGAAAGTATCCTAGTCGGAGAGTATTTTTTTTGTGTTCTAACAGGGTGAGGAGTAAAAAGACTGAAACAAGTATCAAACAAATTATAGGTGTACTTTGCTCATGTAAATGGAAATGAGTTAAAGGCTTTTTATCAAATGGATTTTATGGCAGGTACTTGCCAATCTAAGCAAATCTGGGTGTGGGATGTATTGAGTCACCCTCAGTGTAATGAGGTGTGGAAAGCAGAGATTCAGCAACAACAACAAAAAAAAAAAGGATAATGTGGGGTGTTTAGCTGAATGGCTTGGAATGGGATGACTGCATTTATTTACATTTAACATAGTTGATATCTTCCTCAAAAATTAATCTTGTGTATAAATATGCCTAGTACATGCTTTCTTGGGAAAAATAGTTGGTGTGGTTACTAAGCTTGCCCTGGAAAATTAGATGAATAGGCTTTGTGTGTTTGCTGGCACAGCTGAAGTGGTTACATTAGCAACAAAGAGGTTAGCCCTGAGGAAAATTTCAGTTTCAAACTTTGAAAGCTGGAATAGCTTTCTGGAAGCTTCCAGTTTGGTGTTTTCAGCAGTGTCAGTGGAGAGTCAGTCTGAAGTCTGCCCAGTTCAACTCGGTCAGTCACCATGTTGTTAATAGCAAGAGTGCTGCAGAGGTTGAGTAAACTGATGTGCTGGTTTTATATTTCAGGAAAGCCAGTCGCTGCATGCAGCTTTGGAGGAGCTAAATAATACTGCAGTGGCGTATCAGAAGTTGAATGACATCAAGCTTCTAAATGTGGATTCAAGCATTGGTAACCTTAGCCGGAGGGTTATGCTGTTAGAAAACTCCCCCCTTGCTGTGAATAATCTGGACAAAAGTGAGAACTTGTCTACCAGTGTGGTAAGTATTTGATGTCTAAGGGTGTCTACTCAGGCTAGTAGTTTCAATATAGTAGTTTCTATACACTACAGATATAGCTTTTCAAACTTAACTAAAGAAGATGTCAGAATGAAACTTGAGACTCTTAAGATTTCATTTTAGAAGACTGGAATTTGTTCCATATATCGGAACAGATAACCAATGTTAAGAGTATCTCTGAAGTAGTCATTTCTTCCCTGCAGAATCTACAGAAAAATGTCCAAAACACTGTGACATTTAAGATGGGCAACTGCTTAATGGGACAGGATTCACAAACCTCTTTAACTTTGTTTTAGGAAGGCACTCTGGCATATAAGGGATCTGTTAAGACCACTGAGGAGCTAGGTGGGCCTCTGGATTTTTCAGTGGTGCTTAAATGCTAAAAAAAAAATTTAGTGCTAAAGATGCTCATAAATCTGTCCAGTGCTTCCTGTATGCCATACTGGGGCGAGTCTCTGAGAATGTGTTCTGTAGGTTTAGCAGTTAGGAACATGCTGAAGTTGCTGTGGTCAATTATAACACATGGTCTTCGTATTTATTCTAGCATGTATTTGTCCTGTTTTTTTCCTGCTTCATGCCTGCCAAATTTGAAGGAAAGAAACTTGTAGAAAATAATAAGCACATGAATAAACTCAGCTCTTCTCCATTTTTCCTGTAGGGGAATGATGCAACTACCTCTCTAAAAGTGGAAAATGAAGATCAACTAGATAATGAAACTCATTCAGATAAAGACCTGAAGGTAAAGTAAGGAAACACAAATTACACTGGATTAGTAGAGCATGTCATTGTCTTTATAATTATGTTTTAAGTGAGACTTAATTGAAGAAAGATCTGTAAGCAGGCTAATCTGATCCAGTTTCTTTTAAAAGTCCGGAGTAGAAGGACAGCTTATCCACCTGATTTTGGGGACAGGAAGTCAATTAGGATGGGACAAAACTTGTAATAGTTTAAAGTCTTGCCATTCTGACTACGTATGGGATAAGATAGTAGAGCTACTGTAATATCCTTCTGTGTGGTTGAAAGCATCTTGGGAGATTCAGAGCCATGGTCCAGTGGAATAGGGGACTCTGGCAGCCAGCTCATTTGAGTACCCATTGCCATGCTCTGAGCAGAGCTACCCCAACTGTTGTGGGTTCACACTGCAAAGGGGGTTACGGCATTTATCCAGGTGTAAAAACTTTCTTGGGTTGATTTAAAGAAACTTTGCATTAGTGGAGTCTAGGAATTGATGAAAGCCACCTCTCAGTAATGATCTGCTGACTGGCTGTGAGCAAGTTCAACAGACTAACTGAATGGCCAAATTGTGGGCTGGGAATAAGAGGCGGTGCTGCTGAGGTTAGTTTCCGTCCTTTGGAAAGAAGGCAGGTGAGTGATCTGGCTATGCTGTCAGTTCTAGGATTGGATTGATGTGAACTCAGCCTGTTATCTGGACCCTGCTCATAAAAAGAGGAAAGGGGCTCCAGATTAAAAAATGTGGTGGTTTTACTTTGACAGGGATATAATGACTCCAGCACTAAGGTAGTCAGTTCTTCAGACAAACATTTAAAACAATTATGCAATTCAATTAATGTATAAATGTTCGCTCCAACTATGTTTGACTGGTTTATATTATGATTTTTCAGACTCTTGCTCATTTATATAAGAAATATGGAAATTAAGTGTCAGATTCTTTTGAAATCAGTGTCTGCAAAATAGTTGTCTGCTTTTCAGGTTGAGGTGCTGATTCTGTTTTTTTCTTATAGACCATGTGAATTTATTCCTTACATCTTTCCATAGTTGTGTTTTTTTGTGGGTGTTTTGTCTTTTTTCTTTTCTTTTCTTTTCTTTTCTTTTCTTTTCTTTTAGATCTTGTTTATCATTTTAAACTTGATCAGCCTGGAGACCTCCAAGTCACTCAAAAGTACTACATATTTTAAATTACTTCTTTTCCTGATCTTCTCTATCTACTGAAAAGGTGCTCGTTAAGAAAATTTTTTTCTACATATGCAGGAAACAGGAACTAGAGATTCTCAGGTATCAAAACTAAGAGAGAAGCTTCAGATGATCAATGCTTTCACAAGCAAGCCAGAAAACGATGGATCCATTGAGACATCAAAGAATGGTAAGAATGTTGTATAGTAGTAAACCATAAACCTGAAGGTTCCCTGTGTAATTCAAAGAATAATTAATGAAGGTGGAAAATTTAGACTGTTCCTTAACATTTTTGGTGAAGATTATTTCAGTTAAAGTGGTAGAAAACTGATGGCTCTAAACCAGAAAACTATGTATGACTACAAAAGTTTGCAGGTGACTTTCCATGTGTATAGCAGGATTCACATGCATCAATAGCTTGTATTTGAAGGCATACAGTGATTAATTTGTAGAAGTTTATACCCAGTAACATCTATCTTTGCTTTTCAAAACCTAAGTATAACATATAGGAAAGGTCTGCGTCTCTGATTTGTCTCAGTTCTGCATTTTTGCTGTATATATTCAGGTAGTGCTGCAGATAAGACTTGAAATACTTCATTACAATAGAACTGTGCTTGTTGTTAACTTGCTAATCAGCAACTTGGAAGTTTAGACCTTGCTGTTGGGGAAGATAGATACCTGCATTGACAAGGTGAAAACAACCCAGGTGGGCAGATGTAATTTGCTTAATAAACCTTATTCAGTACTTTCAGGCTGGGAAGTAGAAAGCACTTCCAAGTGTATTTGTAAACACCAAAGAATGACTTCTCCTAGTATAGCATGAAAGATTAAAACTGTATTAACTGTCCAAAAAAGTTTCCTTCCTTCTGTTCTTCCAGTTATTGGTAAAAGGGGACAACACTGCTGTATTCTGAAATGATTTTGCAGCATTCTTATCCCATACAGCATCTGTGATGCAAAAAAAAAAAAAATTAATTTGTATTATCAGATTTTTTTTTTGTTTCTGCTAACTAATTCTGTCGAATTAGCAAGACTAATAGAAATTGTTTTGTAACAGTTGACAGTAGTCTGAGTACTACAGCAAAGCCCACAGACCTTTCAAGGCTGGCTTCAAGGTCAGCTAATGATAACGCAGAGGGTAACAGACAGCTGAGACATCTGTCCTTACCAGGAATTTCCAGCATCGAAGGTATGTCCTTTCTAGGCTGACCTTTTCTTTTTCTGAATATTTCATGTAAATGTTTAGGAGACAAGAAGGATAACTGGGATTATGTTAGTGTGTCTGGGCATTCTGGGAGAAGTGAGGTCAATTTTGAAAGCTTGAGAACTAGAGACTTTCTTAAAAAAAAGTAATTAAAAAAAAAAAACCAAAAACTGAAGGAAACTGGGATTTAAACAGGAATGTGCATTATAAGTGAATTGTAATTGTTTTGAGTGCCAAAGTATTATACCAAGTGCCCCAGAGATTGAGAGAGAAGTCAAGGGCAGAATTAGGGTGCTGAAGGAAAATGAAGTAGATGTGAGTGTGTATGTTTTGGGGGTTTTTCTTTTCTTTTTTTTTTAAAGAATGCTGCCTGGTCAAATGAATGGTTTGTGGATCTTGCTGTTCAGACTCTTCAGCTACTGAAAGGGCAGTACTTTCCATCAGGAAATGAATAGACACTTTTCCCTTTATATCATCTGTGCTGTTGGTATAGCAACAGTCGTTCAGAGCTTGCTTTTGTGGAGGATAACTTCATCTGTATGCAGTTAGTGGTTCTAGAATGGGCTATTAGTCCTGGCCAGAAATAGGGATTATTTTTTCGAGTTTTAATGTAATTTAATCCAGAAATGCTCATGTTTTTGGGTTTTTTTTTTTCTTTCTCCTAAACTGTTACTGACAGCTTGCAGCAATGCAGAAGGCAAGCTACATACTTGGGTCTGCTTTATTTAATTACTAGGTAGTAAGATATAGTGCAGTAAAACTGGAAGGGCAGCTTATGGGATATTCTTGTGTACTTAAAGGAGCTACTTTTAAATAATTTTCTCTTTGCAGATCTTCAGAATTTGTTTGCAAAAGCAATTGAAGATGGTGATGGAAAACTATCTTATGAAGATCTTCAAAAGCTGCTTGGCTCTACAGCCCAGGAGCCACAGAGCTTTAAGAAATTTGACACAGATGGAGATGAGAAATACTCATTGCAAGAACTGAGATTAGCTTTAGGTGTATAGGATATATATTTAGAAATGTGGTATTGATGGATGCTACTGTAGCTAAAGGAAACTACGGGACATGAAAAACTACGTCTGCACTTTCCCGGTGTTTTACTGATCTTCGGAGCTAAATTACTGTACACATTGCCACCTCTTTTTTGTTTGCATTTATTGAAAAGAAATCTACAAGTTTATATGTCAATAAGACATAATATTGGGACTGTGTTAAAATCCAGAAAATTCCCAAACTTGGAAACATTTTCCTCTCTTTCCTTTTCAAGGGGGTTCTTGTTTTTAATTTAAAATGTGTACATACTAAAATAAAACTATGGTTTTATATTTCACTGAAATTTGCCTTAAATTAGAGAGCTGCACTTTATGTAGAGCAGAAAGAAATCTGTCTTGTAAAGATGGGCTGCTTCTGCTTGTAAATATTTGAGATAGAGTAAATTATGCATATTTAAGGGGAAGTTTGTGTCAGGGGCTGTGTTGGTAGTAAGCTGTTTATGATGAGAGACTGAGCCTAAAAGGGGTGGTTAAGAGCTTCAGCTAAATTTCTAGTTTTGACTAAGTATGTCCATGAATGAGTTTGGACTCAGCCAGAGGAAAGCAGGAGTGGTAAATCATGCCCATCTATAGCAGGATTTATTTTTAGAGGGAAGAGTTGAAAGTGTTTTTATATCATGAGCCTACAGGAGCAATTACCTGCCAAGTGCTTGGGTTTTCACTTGAGCATTCTTTTAGCTTTGCTGTATTACGTCCAGATTATTTTGCGAGATGAGCCTATCTGAGGGGAAAAAAATAAAAAGCAAGCTACTGAAGAACTTTTAACAGATGCTTTAAGAGGTAGAAGTCTGCAATGCAGTCTGCTGAGTAGCACCTGAATAGTTCGTGCCTTGGGTATGATCAGCAGTGTGCTGGCTGTCTCGTTGACTGGTCACTGGAGATCTTTTGAACAGGGTTGCTGGTGTTGCTGGTTTCTTCCACCCGCTGTTGTTGGGGTCACTCTGAAGTGCCCCGAGTGAAGCTCCTGGTCACTAGGAGCATGAGCAGGTGAGGAAGGCCCAGACTAGACTTGTGGGCTGTTTCCTGACTAATGTGAACACGATCACTTCTTGGTACCTTTACCTTTTATGTTTTTGCCAGCAGAAGGATGTAAAAAGCAGGATAGGAGCGTGCAGTCGCATTGGCGTTCCATGCTGATGCATGCTTTATAAGTGAGGTTTCCTTACTATAGAGGAACTTAAGGGTTTGTTTATACTAGTGGATCTAAACACAGAGCGTTTCTGGAACATGGAAAATTACTTTTGCTGAAGGGATTCTCTTGCAGGCTAGATCAGGGCCAAGTCGGATCATTTTGCTCACAAATACCACTGATCTTGTTGGGAGTTTTTTTGCATGACTAGTGAATTGAAGTTGTCCACCTCACTGAAACACCAGCTTATGTGGAAGTCAGTTCATAATTGTTGACTTTTATATAACTTTAGACTGGATGTTTTATGAATAATTGTATCCTGGAGTATGAATCGGTGAAGGAATGCAGAAAATGGAACCCTGTTACCCATTGCGTGGGCTGCTTTCACTTTTGCTCTTCTATCCTGTTTGGGTAATGCAGATGTGACCCAATATGGAGATGCTTTTCATGTGACATTTGAAAATACAGTATTTAAAAACAAAACAAAACCAACCAACCTTGGCTTTTGAGAGGACAAGAAGCCAACACTTGCTTCTTGCCGCTTCCCACACCCTTTTATACGCTACTGTTTAATTCCTTAACCAAATAAAAAAACCTAGCAATAAAATGTAACCATTCTGGTATTTTATTTGTACATATTGTATCATAGCCATATGCCAGAGTTTGCAAAATATTTTTGGAAGTTTGGTTTGTACGGAGTTTAACTTACCTTAAAATTTAAGGGATTACTGTATTGCTATGTGAATCTGTTACTGTTTTGGTTTGTTGCAGTCTGCTTTACTTTTAACTTTTAGAGGGCTCTTCAACAGCAATACGGATACTGTCAGCTAGAGACCGCGCGTGCCGCTCCAGCCGCCTGTGTCCTCTGCCCGTGGCCAAGGAGCCGAGGTGGTCAGGGATGGGCACGAGGGCACAGCTGTCCAGTGGTGCTGCTTAATTTGCACGTCAAGAGCAAAGTGGATCGCGTATTGCTGTAGTCACTGCTGTTGTAGGACGGACTCGTGCTATCAATTGAACAAAATCCAATCATCACTGAGTACAGTGGTCGCTGTTGTTTGGCCTAGGGTAGCCGGTAGCGGTGTGCTGCAGGCTGGGACCAACGATTCCCCACCC